AGCGAGAAAAATTTCTCCCTGAACCTCGAGAGGACAACGGAATACTTTATTCACTAATACCGCTTGCCCTACTGGACTTGTAACTGTAACAGTATTTTCAGTGTTCTCGATCGGAATCTGAGGTTTCGAGATACTGAGCTCGATCATAGGAGTGAGTGGAGCCATTGTCCAATAATGCAAAGTATAGAGTAGAATAAATGTAAATGTACCTGCAATACCTCAGGCTTATCTCTGTCATCACGACGTCTAGTGGCATAAACCAAAGCTGGTTGTCTAGCCTCAGAACTGTTGGCCCTCTCTTTTGTTGAGGTCGGCTCTACTGTCTGTCCTGGACGCTGATCCTCGAGTCTTTCCTTGACTACGATCTCTAATTGGGGTGTACTGTAGTCTGCGAACGCACAGGAGTTTGGGTAGCGGTCTGCTCAAACGAAGCTAGCTGAGGACAATCCATCCGATAATGACCACTAGATCCACTTATAGCAAAGATCATCTTCTTACGAAACACAATACTCTGATATGATACCCCGACAGCTAAAGGTGAGGATGCTGCAGGCCTGAAACGTGTATTGCTTCTCTGAGGGCCAAAGTACGAGTCTCTTCCCGGACTGTGCTGATGACTCAACGCCTGAAAATTTCTTAGATCGTTCTTGATCAACACGCTCTCTACCAGAAGCTAAAACCTCAACCTCTTCCGCATCTTTGGCTCTGCCCACCAGCACATCAAATATCTCATCCTGATGGGTTAACTTGCCTACGCAGCTCGTATCTGAGTCCAAGGGCAAATTTACGACATCGATCTCTCTCCGTAGGTACCATACTGAATCCATACTTCAACAACTTCAAGAACTCGATCTCATACTCAGAAACAGTCATGTCTCTCTGAACCAAGTCTTGAAACTATTGTGTCTCTGAGTAAGTAGCGCTCTCCCAGAAAACGACTCCGAAGCGATCCTTAAAGAAATTCCAGGTCAAATGATCGGTAGGAACACTACTGGTCACTGACTCCCACCAGTGTAGGCATTGCCATCTAACATCGCACAGCACCCTGATATCTTAGTTGAGTCTAAACCCAACTGATCCATGCGTCTCTTTGTATTCTGAAGCCAATCCTCAGCTTCAGTAGGAGCTCTACCAATCTGTCCCCCAAAAGTTCTAACTCCATTGGCAATCAAAGTCTGCGAAATAGGAACCTCAGATACAACACCAGTAGCTCTGACTGCTCCTTGTATTAACTGTAGAAATTGTTTACCAAAATTCTCATCCAAAGCAACTCCGGTAGACTCTGACTCAATATCGGTCGCTCCTATGATCGGTGTAGTCATGCCAATACCAGCGGCAGGAGGCAGATTCGTTGGGGTCGTAGGAGCAGGATCACCTATCGGAGATGGTGGATCTACCCGTATCTCATCAATCGGATCTGTAAATCTAGCCACTCGACCTCGTCCACGGCTAGTTCAACGACCACGTCTAGCACTCATTTTGATAGATCTCAAGTTTACTACAGAAGATAAAACTTAGGGTTAGATAAGCACTTGGAGTCTCGAACACAATTTAAAAATCTTAATAATTTTGTGACATGGCCTTAGTAACTCGTTTTGTAAAATATTTCAAAACCGTATTTTCAATGTGGACTCATACACAGTCCGAGGGTTAAAAACCAAAAGCTCTGATACCAATAAATGTAACCCCCTTGACCCGGCCTATGCGTTTCGACTAAGTCTAGTGGATCACATTATGATTATTAAAGACATTTTCCGAAACCGTTATTCTATCAATATAAAATCACATTATAAATAACATAAAATTATAAACAAATTATACTATCAAAATCCAACTCGTAAATATAGTACCAATAAATAAAAATTTAATTTAAAACATGTCTTCAAATTCAAAATCACAATAAACTGAGCAGTAATAGCAAAAGAGTCATCATTATAAAATCTGATATTTTAAAATAAGGTTCATGTCACCAAAATAAAGTCAACTTGCAAGATAAAAACATTACAATCTGATTTACTTCAAGAGATATGTTGATCCTCCAAGTGCTCGAACCGAGGTATCTAACCAACAGTATCTGAAAGGGGAAAAACATTTTCGAAAGGTGAGCTAGGCTCAGTGTGTCCCAACATTTCCATAAAATCACAATAGGTACATTAACAAATCATAGTCCAGAATCTCACAAATTCATAAAAGAGTTTAACTTTTGAAAATCATAGTTTAAACCCTTTCTGGTACCATCAGTAGTTCCCAAAATTATTTTCCATATAGTACTTTATGCACATAACAAAAAGAAAGCCGACTTAAGGATAGGCTATGAAGCTTGTATCCTTAAGCCCAAGTCAATAAGTCCATATAGCTTACCCTAAGCACACAGCAAAGGAAACCGACCTAATGAAATATCTTGGGGCCCTCAGAGTCACATTAGGCCCAATAGCTTGATCAGAGCTATTCCATCGTAATTCAATTCCAAAATTCAATTGCACCGTGACATAAATTCCATAAATCCAAAAACATGGTAATCATATACCATTTAAAGACAAAAATTAGATCGCAACCATATTCCATAAATTGTCACATTAAATTGGTGCATCCATAAAACAATAACCAATGAATTCGGTGTACCATATTAAAACCAATGAAACAGTTCAGTATAAGTAGGGAACACACCTCGACAATAAGTTCAAATAGCAATCTACTGATTGTGGTTTCACCACGCTGCTACAGTTTTCGAACCTATTTTACAATAACACTATTACTTATGAGTAATAAATATATCTCTAAAATCATAAATTTACGGGTCTTACGGGTGAATACTGGCACACGTGGTTTAACTGATCTAAAAGAGCTGGGCCGAGCTGTCGAACGATCTGGAGAGTCTCTTGTACCTTCAAACAATAATAATTTATCAGTCCCAAATCCTATTTAATTGTTCAAAGCTAAACTTCTTAAGTATAAGCATTTTTCGGGTTTGACTATCAATTGGGGTATTTCGAGTCTGAATTTGGCCAAACGGATTGCGGAATCGGAATCAGGACGTCGAAAAACATAAAGTATGACTTTCTGAAAATTCAAATTATTGGTCAAAGTCAAAGTCAACCACTTTGACCGTCGATTTGGAGGCTTTCGGGTTCGAATTTGACGAAACGGACCACGGAAACAGATTCGACACGTTGAAAACTATCAGGATAGGTATACTCGGAAAAGATTAACGATCGTTTAATAGCCGGTCAAAGCCGGTCAAAGTTCTGGTCAAAGGAGGTCAACAAACTGTTGAACATTTTACACAAATAGCACCCTTTTAAAATAATTACCAAAATAGCACCATTTCAAATTAATTACCAGAATAGCACCAAAACCGAATTATTTACCAGATTAGCACCAAAACCGAATTATTTACCATAATAGCACCGATCAACGGTCAACGATCGGGTCGGATCAACAGGTCGGGTCGTGATCGGTCAAACCGGTCAAACCCTTAAGAAAATCGGTTGAACCGGTCACTCACTCGCCCTACGGCGACGCGTGTGGCGCGTGAGGTGTCCTCCGGGGCTCTAAAAATTACGGAAAAATTTCTAAAAATTATTTTGAGCGTTTTCGAGATACTTACAAAGCTCGGCTCAAATTTTTGAACGGCAGAGAGCTCGAATTCATCAAATCGGGAAGTTTGACCGGTTCACCTCCCCACGCGCCGCCGCCGCCGGAGAAAAAGGAGAACACCGGTGGACTTGGAACGGCACAAGGAACACGATGGTGCGGGAGGTGTCATAAACGGAGCAACGATCAGCGATGAATTTAAGATTTTCTCAGCGATAGAGCTAATAAAAACGACGATACTTTGACTGTAAATTCCCGACGTTTGGCCGCGTTTCGCTTCAATTAATTTGAAGGGTTTGTTCCTCGCTCGATGATGAACACAACGGTGGTTTCAAAACAACGATCAGAATTCGGACGGCGTTGGAATCGAGTTTGGAAGTTGTGTGCATGAGAAAGAATTTGTGAAATTGATTTCTGTTTTTCAAAACAGAAATCACGCATATAACAATTGCCTGCCGACACTCCAAGGTTAAATTCAGGATTTGGTCCCTGAATTTTCTTTAACTTTAAAACAAGCTCCAAGTTTTAAAATCTTTCAATTTAATCCCAATTTTCGCCAAATTTTCACAATTAAACCCTCCAATTTCAATTAAATATTATTTTGAAAATCGGGTTGTTACATTACCTCTGCCTGCATAATGTTTGATTGTAGAATTCAGTAGTTGTAAATAGGAAAAAGTGGCAGTTGGCAGAGAATTGTTGACACACACTGACTTCTTCTGTATGTGTCTAGTAATGCATAGGTTGATTGCAATGACTAGTTAAAGTCGATCATCCATGTTCACATGTTAATCATGCTTTGACTTTGTTCTAACTAATTAAGAGTAGTGGGACTAGTTATAGTTTTGTGATGGTTGCAATGGTGAGTTTGGTTATCATTACGGAAAAATGCTAACAATGTTTGAATTCATAACCCTTCCCAGCAGCTGCACTTTATGGTGCTGGGTTTCAATGAATTCTTTTCTTTCCCTACTCTTAAGCAGCTTGTTTTCTTAGAATGGAAATTAGATAGATCCAAAAATAGGTGCTAAAAAAAGTCCTCATTATGCAGGCCAAGAATGAAAGCAAAGCTCGAGGAGTGTAATGGAGGGATGAAAATGCTTTCTCTCTGAGACAGAATATTTGGCTTGATGGTCATGTATATCATGATATTTGGGAATACGGCCTGTTGAAACCTGGTTGTTGGTGCTGTTCTGTGCACCATTATTTGTCCAATATTTGTATAGGACTCATTTCCCCATTAGCTTATACCTTGCTTTTGACCTCTTTTTGAAAGAGTGCTCGTTGATTATGTAGCTGGTTTACTTTCTTGTCTTATATATTCTGTTATATGTGTTGTGCTTGTGTATGCAAAATTAATGATCCTGTGCAAATTCTTAAAGTCTTGTAAAATACACAATTTTTAGAACCCCAGTAGTGTTCCTCCTGCAACATCAAGGCTTTCACCCCTCCCTCATGAACCATATGACCGTGGTGCAACTGTAGATATTCCTCTTGATTCTGCCAAGGTATCCTAAAAGTTTCCGTATGTTGAATGGATGGCTGTCTTGTTTGTGGATATTATGTTTAAGAAAAAGACTTCTTTTGACATTTTTGTCTAATTGAATCTAGGATTTAGAAGCGAGAGAGAAGGAACTTAAAGCAAAAGAGGCTGAATTGAATAAGCGGGAACAGGTAATTTGTTGCCATCTGTTTGCACTCGGATGAGGCTTGCTGATGAATAATTAATCTGGTGCTTCCAATTTATGGCTTGCAGTATTTGGTATCATTTGTGAAGTTATCCCTTTTGCACTGACGTTCCAAACATACACATTTCTGATGTAATGTAATTATTGCTATCTGGGCACAAACAATGAAAACTCTAGTTTTCTCGGTTTCTGATTCATATTTCAGCTTAATTGTTTTATCTGTCTAAATGCTTGTGAAATATCTGAATGCTGAAGTCTTTTCTTTTCGTTAAGAAAATTCTAAATTATGCAATGACTTGATCCTTGAATGTTCAGACGCAATATGTAACTGTATTATCTGTAAGGTGGTTTTGAAATTTACTTGCTTTTAGAATAAATTGTGCTTATAGTAACTGAGTGTTATCGTTATGTTTTGCAGGAATTGAAAAGGAAGGAGGATGCAATAGCACGAGGTAGGTTCTTCGTTTTTTTCCTTCCTTTTATCTTGATGACTTGACAAGCTTCTGCATTACCAGGTAAGCTTGATTTTGACATATGTTCTTGCCTTCTTCTTGGTATCTGGAATTGTAATAGAGGTGAAAAATTGGCCACCATTTTTTCCTATTATCCATCATGATATTGCAAATGAAATACCAATCCACCTACAAAAGATGCAGTATGTTGCTTTCACAACATTTTTAGGTGAGTTCAAGTGCAGGTTTTTCTGTTTCTTTCTTTCATCACAATGTTACTCTTATTATCCATAATCATATTGCAAATGAATACCAATCCGCCTAAAAGAGATGCATGCAGTATGTTGCTCCTATTGTCCATCATTATATTTCTTTCTTTCTTTTGGTACATATAAGCCTTTTGTGAATCTTGCAATTTCAAAAGGTAAATTGTATTGGTTGTAATTTACATTTCCAGTTCATGTCTTGAAAAATGCTTATGTTGCCAATTTCTTATTGTGACCAATGCTGACTTCAGTCTAATGTTTTCTTGACATGGAAGGTTTGGTTCTTTGTCTTTTTTGGAATATAGTAGCTGTTACTACAGCTTGGGTCAAAGGAGAAGGTGAGTTTTGGAAGTTAGTATTCCCCTATCATTAAGTGGTTAATTTCTATTTTGTCTTCTTAGTGGGAGCTTATATCTTATTCCAGGTCCAACAATTTGGTTTCTTTCCATTATATATTTCATATCTGGGGTCCCTGGTGGCTATGTATTGTGGTATCGCCCTCTCTATCGTGCTATGAGGTATACTTTTGGGTTATTCCTTATTTCATTTACAAGTACCTAAAAACTGTATCTGTCCAATTATTGCTTAAGAAATTATAGTACTTGTGGTTATTTCTACTGTCTCGAGTTCAATGATAATAAATGAAAGCTTTTATTGTAAGCCTTAATCTTATCTCACGTCTCTATGTTCCTTTCATTTACAGGACTGATAGTGCATTCAGCTTTGGACGGTTTTTTTGTTTTACATGGTATGCTTCTTGCTTCCTTGCTGTAATTGTTACATATTCATGGGAGATATGCTAGAAAGCTCGTCATTTATTACTCTTGTCTTCTTCCTAGCAGTTGCATATTGGCTTTTGCATCTTTGCTTCAGTTGCTCCCCCAATTATTTTCAAGGGAAAATCCCTTGCGTAAGTTCGTTATAACTTTTTCCTCCCTAGAGGATTTTGAATGTTACGGTTTCTTTTTTGTTTAACTTTTTTTATAGAGAAGATAACAACTTTTTAGAGAGTGGTTGGTAATCTGTAGCTGATGGTGTCTTCATGATGCAGAGGTATTTTGCCTGCAATTGATCTCATTGGCGGTTCAAGTGCTTTCGTGGGGGTAGGTTCCAAACTATGAGGATGCTTTGCCCGCAATTGTTGTTTTTGGTTTTACTATTCATTCGTCTCTGAGAAGGCTTGACATTGGCTGCATCATTTTGACCTGCAGATATTCTACTTCATCGGTTTCGGATTTTTTTGCATCGAATCATTACTGAGCATCTGGGTTATTCAGGTCACAAATCCCTAGTCTTTCATGACCTTTTCAGTGAAACTGCTTCATTCTGTTTTCTCCTAAAACCTTTGGTGTTCTCTATTGAATTTGCAGCAAGTTTACATGTATTTCCGAGGTAGTGGTAAAGCTGATGAGATGAAGCAAGAGGCTGCAAGAAGAACAGTGGCAGCGGCATTCTGATAGTGTATGGAGGCCATCGCATAAAGATGGTATTTGCCGGTGGTGGGCTTGGATCATGTCTGATGAATTACAATGTACTTGAATTGCTTCTTCCCACACAATTTTCTGGCTGGCTGGCTGGCTTGTCTAATCATTTTATTGATATGTTGTTTAAATATATATACATATACATATACATTCATGAATGAAGAATGTTGAAGAAAACAGATTAAAGTTGGACACAATGACATAAAAATTTGTGGATAGCAAGGTTTAGCAGTTGTGATGCCCATATTCCAGTGCTTTTCATGATAGAAGGATACTTGAGCTTAATCTCTGCTTCCCAATATGATAAACGAAGAACAAACTCGGAGCTAATAGTTCAAACCTGGAAACGATTTTCCATAATTCATTTTCTTCTTAGCTGGGAGTTCTCTTCACTCCCATTATTAGTTTCAAAGGTTACAGTGACGTATTAAAATTGATATTCTCGAATTCCGACTGTCCCAATTAACCAGGTAAAAATACCAAGAGGTAAGACAATTTGGTTGAAGTTATGGAAGGGGTATTGTGGTAAAAAAGAAAATGTGAACATTGAAACATTAAAACAATGCTTAGTCTCCCTTCTTCAGAACCAGCGCCTGAAAACAATTCTCATGCTTCTCCGGATAAACTGAGTAGTTGAAATGGTTCTTTTCACATGACGAGTAACAACTAAGCCCACTTCTATCCCCTTCCATTTAAAACATCTCAACTCATTTCACCAAATGAAGAGATCCATCCTCATGGCAATGGGGTTAATATCTCAAAAAGGTAATGGAAACGGGCAGAGGGCAAGACCCTGCGGGTTGCTGCTGCTTTTGGCATTTGGGGCCACCATGCTTGCTAATTGCTATTATGGCGCTCCACAAACTCCGGGAGAGACGCATCTTCAACCTACTTCTCCAAGAGAGTGGCCGCCGCCTCATTTCTCTTCAGCTGTTGTTGCAGGTCGCTTCTCTGCACCAAACATGGCATGCTCTGGGCCTTTTTTTATTCAATCATAAACTACTAATGATATTTTGAGAGCTATCAGGGCTGTACATGATAACACTGTTTACTGTTGTTTTCGATCACAGAAACAAACCGAATACACCAAAGAACTGAAGAAGTAAGCTGAAGAGACTAAAGCAAAGATGAGCTCTTTCAGAGAGCAGAAAATGGAGGTGGATCTTAGGCTCTTGGAAATGCAATCTACAATTGATTCCCTTAAAGATGAGCAGAAGACCATGGAATCTGAACTCGAGGACAAACTAAATGAGATCAAACTGCTACGACTTAAAGAAATGGAGTCATCATGAACTCCTCACGTGACTGCTTTAATAGCAACTTTGAAGCAACAGGAGGCTGAAATCCAGGACTTGAACCAGCGCCTTCACTCTTCGGTTTGAGTTTGGTCATCAAATCGTCCGATAAATATAACGATTACAAAGGAAAAGACGGAGTTGAGACGCGAGGATGGTGGAGAGCATGAATCTTCCACATATGAAGTTGGTGATAATTCAACAAAAGGTCTGGAAGGAAATGAGACTAGATCAGGTTACCCTCAGGAAGAAGACAACAAAGAAAGTGCTGATAATGTAGATGAGAAAAACAGAATGTACATCAAAGGAGGAGGGCAACAGCAGAATCTGGAAAATGGAGAAACGAATCGTGCAAGAGCTACTGCAACATCTGATCAGATGGGCGAAAGCAAAAACAAAAGTAACTTTTCCGGGCAGCCTGGAAAACTTAAAAGCCCCCTCCAAGAAAGTGAGGTTCGAAAATTCCAACAGAATCATCAAGGTCGGGACAAACTGGAAACAAATGAGAGTAGTAGTAAGATTTCAAGCTTTGCAGAAGCAGAGAGATTTGGCAATTTAAGCACAACAGAGGGTAAAAGATGGAGATTAGCTGCTAGGAAGAGATTTCTAAATATGAAAAATTCTGAAATAGGAGTTGAAAGCAAAAGTAGAAGATTTTCAAAAGAACATGAAGATGCCATAAGAAGCATGGATGAGGGGGCGGAACCCGAAAAACAGAAGGGAATGGATCTAGCAAAAGCTAATTTGTTGAAGCATCAGAACTCTGAACCTGAGGACATTGACGACAGGAAAGACAGAAGAGAGAGCGTGGTTGAGGGAGAAAACACAATGTCAAACAACCAACATAGCTACGAGGCAAGACAAGTATCAGAAAACAGTAATTACACACATGATGTCAAGCAGCAGAAAATTGAAGAAACAACCGACAACAGCAGGTACATGAAGCAACAGAAGAAGAAAGCTGTCGAAATGGAGGCTGCAGTCACAAATAAACAAGCAGCATCAAATGATGACCCTTCCAGTGAATTTATGTCAGATTTGAATATAAACGAATAGATGCGGCTGAGACTGAGGTTTAGATAACACAACTTCCCAAGTGTCATGTCCTAGCATTCAGATGCCTGCATTGCTCTTAGATCAGTAATTAATTGTCCTTTCTTTAAGCAGTGAAGGCCATCATCTTTAGACTTTGGAAAAACCTAAAAGGCCAAATATGAGATTTTATGTTTTGGATTGGATATTTGGATATTCGAATAAAGTAACATTGCCAAGACATGGTTCAAATGTTCATTGTTGGTTTACTTTTAAGATATATGCTTAAAAAGTAATTTTCAATTGTCTGATTTTCTTCTTTTTTGTGAGTGTGCATGTGTGCACGCATGTGTTTTTCAAACAACCGCAGAAAATGGAACACTTGTTGCTAGACTAACTTTCCCATGACCAACCAACACTTACTCTCCCTGAGAATATTGCTCATGCACATCTCCAGTTTCCAGGCTTGGGACTAGGATGCAAAAACTAATCACCCATATATATATATATACTTCAAGACCCTTCTATTTATTATATCAAACCTATTATATCACATAACATTAAACAAAATTATTGATTTCTATATGCAATAGGGACCAAGTAAAATCAAGTTAACATGCACAAAAGCATAGTTCATTAACTTTTCCAAGTCATCAAAAGGTTTTGGGTCTCAAAACTGTTACATCCCATTACCAACAGGACAGGACAAGCCAATGAAACAGACTGTATGTTCTCTGATGAGAAGCTGACCTCCGAATTTACTCAGTAATCACTCTCTGAGGGAAAAAGAAAATAGCAAAGAAAAGATGATACCCAAGGACATGAAAATTCCAGCCACGCATTATCCATGCATTATTGTTAAAACTTAAAAAGTAAAGGCTTCAACCTCATTAATGTGCCGTTTCCACCACGTACTGCCACAAAAGAAAAATGAAAATGAAGGAAGAAGCCATAATACATGCACAACAATAATTTAAATCTGAAAGCATGCTTAGGCATTCTATCATGCTTTTAGAAACTGCTAAGCATCACATTATCAATTTTTTGTTAGATGCTAAATAAAACGGAGTCATCCCAGTAGAGACAATCAACAAGTGGATGAGTGATGGAGGACATTGACTGAACTTCGTCTTCAAAACAAAACACAATATGGCTTTTCCACAATAAAGTATAAATTATCCTGGTAGGCCCAAATCATGGATCTTGATGTTTATTAAAGGTAATACTATTCAAGGCTAAGGTGGTCACTTGACCTGAGAATTTGCATGACTGAATGGCCTTAAAAGACTTATAGTTGTAAAACTTGGCATTAAATAAACTTTTGCCAATTTAAAAATTGTAAAATATTATACAATATTGACAACCGGAAAGTACAAAGCACAAATATTTCCAAAAAAGTGAGAGTTAATTTATTCAACTACGCTCAGGTATCATGCAGACAGCAGCTAGAAGTTGAGATGCAATCATGCATAAGCCGGTAGAGAGTTATTTCATACCGGAACCACATTACTGGACATGACATCATTGCTTGGATGGTAATCCTAGACAGATTTCCTGATAAGAACAAACTTAGTTTGTGGGAGATGTCTCTCACAAGTTACTAACAAATTTGTGTTATTTTCTGATGAAGATTGGAAAAGAGAGATCATTTATTGATCTCTTTTTCTCACATTGAGTAGGCTGCAATAAAATTCTTCAACTCAGTACAATTCATAAACATGTTTGGGATTAGTCTAGTGAGTTCAGTTGTGTTCAGGCCTCACTGTAAAGTTGCAAAGTTGATCAAGTGAAGTTTTTAGATTCAGACTTCATGCTAAAGATGCAAAGTCTACTTCAGCATTCTCAACAAATTGAGCAAGCTCTTTGATTCAGAATTCATGGAATGCAACAGATTGAAGGGAATGATATCAAATTCACTGATGCTTATTAAAAATTGGACTTTAGGGTAAAACATACTTGTTCAATATCTGTTTCTTTCATTATAATCACATATACGTTGGATTGTTCCTTGACTTCAATCATATTCATGGAGAATAGAAAAGAAAATGCAGAGATTCAAATGTAATAACAACCAAAGTTCAGTATAAAGTACCTCTTCCTTCTTGCCTTTGCCTTTAGTGAAGAACTTGTATCCACTAAAGAAAAGCAGACCCCAACCAGATAAAGAGACGATGACAAACTGCACAACCATTAAAAAAACGTGAAGACAGATTCCACATTTATAACTTGTCTAATTCTCATTACATTCCGTTGATTCAGAAATAGTTCCCATCAATTTGTACATGGTAAAGTAGTAGGTAAAAGTATCAGATTGAATGCTGTGATGTAAAAGCTTCTCAAACTCAACAAAATTCTAACTTCAAATTAATGAAATGCAGCATTGAACATGGAGAGTAGACAGAATTTAAATTAGGTATAGAAAATCAATTAAACAAATAAAAAAATGTCAAAATCTGCAAGGTAAAAGAACAGGAACAAGGGTAAGAAATAACGAGGCAAAACTGAAATACAAGTATGAAAAGAAGCAAACTGACATGTTCTTCTTTCCATTTAGACGGGCTCATTGGATCCTGCCAACAATTAACCTTCGAAGGTCCATGGTGATCTGCAAAGCGCAAAAAATGTTGAGTTAAAACGTGATCTTTACTTCTAAAATTCTTTAGTTTCAATTAAGATCTAAGGTAAGTGAGATTAAATTACTCACACAAAACTTTACATCTATCGAAGGTAAATATAGAATTTGTAAAATATTAAAAAGGAAATCGGGAAAAAGGGTAAATGGAGAGAATACCAGCAGCGCCGGCAAGACCACGGCGAGGAATGAGAGAGGCAGCTTGAGAAGGAGCTGGTGATCGAGCTAGAGTAGATGCTCTACGACTTGCAGCCGCCAACAAAGTAGCCATCTTGGTAGTTGCTTTCTTCTTCTTTTCCTTTTTTTTTTTAATTTCCGGAAGAGGGAGAGAGCAGAAGGAAATCGTGGATACTGTTTTAACAAGGAGATGGGGGCACCAAATCAATCAGTTTATTTTGGAGAAATGGAACCTAAACGGTACCGTATTCCGCCCCTAAATCAATCGCTTATTCATGGGCCTAAAACTCGGAAGAAATAGCCCAAGTAACCAACATTTCACCAAAACAAAATCCCTTCATTTTTTTATTTATAATTATAATGTACAAAATAAATATTTTAATTTCTCAATACTTTTGCACAATAATGCTAGAAACTTAAAACTTTAAATTACACTTCGGTTATTTGAATAAACATAGTTAATCTTATCTTTCTTATAAAATAATCGATTCAATTTTTATAAATTTTTTCTTTAGATTAAAATTCAATGAGATCCAAAGAGATTATTTCTTCATCCATAAGATTACAAGTGCTTGCATCAATAGAAAGTTAGATTCTATTTAAACTACTCAATCTCAAATGATATCCACGTTGCTTAAAATTTAAACTAAACTTTAATCATTTTAATTTTAAATATTTGAATTATTTTGATTCAAACTGATGGGATGGATTTTACTAAATTGGGTCGGAAGAAGTTGTAATGTTTAGACTAGGGTAAACCATAAGGTTTTCTACTTAAACCGTTATTTTTATTTTGTTTTAGTATCTAAATTTTATTTTTTTGAAACATACTTAATGTTTAGTTTCGATTTTATTTTGGTATATGTCGTTAAAAACTTAACGGAACTAATCCATGTGACATTTTTTATAGGTAAATTATACCATTCATTACTCAACTATCTTTTATTTCTATTTTTGGTGACTGAAGTTTAAATTTTTTTATTTAATCACTGTAACTTATTTTATTAATATATGAGGGGTTTGTGATTTAGGGGTCTAATTTTTTAGCTTGAGTATAATTTTAATTTTTTTATTTTAATTATATATTAATAAAGTAATAATAAAAATATCATGTCACAAAATATTAATAAAATAAATCAGAGTAATTAAAATAGGAAGAATTTGAAAGTTGGGTAATTAAATTGAATTTTTTTAAAATTTTAATGACAAAATAGAGTGAGAAGATAGTTGAGTGATGAACAATATAATTTACTCATAAATAATGTCAAATACATCCATTTTGTTAAGTTTTAAACGTTATGACACAAAAATAAAATCTAAACTAAATATTAAGTATATTAAAAAAAATAAAATTTAAATATCAAAATAAAATAAAAGTAATAGTTTAGATATTAAAAGTGTAGTTTATTGGTGACATTTTTCATCATTTTATTGGACTTGAAATTTGGTCAAAGGGTTTAAGAGCACTCGATTGTTTCCTAATGGTAAAAATTAAAGGAAATAAAAATAAGATTTAAAGATTCAAACTTGAGTCTTAGAATTATAAACACGTTTTATTGATCGGTCAAGTTTAATACTTGGTTATAGTTTACCCTATTGAACATGGTTACTCGGGCAAAAGAAGAAGAAAAAGATGGTAACAATTTGGTTTGGAGCAGTAGAGAATGTACCCAATAATTCCATCAACTTGACTACCTTTTCAAGATACCAAATCTACAACTTTATCATTACTTCCACCGTCTCTCGTTCACTAGTAACAGTTTCAATTACAGCAGTAACATAATGATATGATTAATATTCCATGATTTCAACCATCTTTGTCACCAATATTTACTGTGGTTAATTATGATAACTTCTATACTTTACAGCAGTAACAGTTTAATTTCATTTCCTATGTTTTCTAACTCCATACTGTGCTGCCAAATTCAACATAAAGATAATATAGCATGGTCCTGCCAAATTCAGCAATATCTACAACACAACCCTTAAGCAACATGCTTAAGTTTAAGCACTATTTCGAGTCCCCTTGAACACCACCCCAATACCCTCAAATGAGAAAAGAATTCAACAACACAAACAGAAAACTTCAGATCAAGGAAAGAAGTGCTCAATGCCCGAAGCAGTGGAAGAAATTACACTTCTATGTAGCTCCAACACCTTCAACCTGCTGCTTAGCCAAGTATCTTTCCCTTCGTTCTTTCTACAATGCAGAATCGTATAGGATTGAATGTTTGAAAACATTTATAAAAAAACCCATTAACTTTAGGGTTGAATTCCTCACCCATTCATCTATAACGAGTCCTTCCCCAACTACATGCGGACCGGTGTCTTCTTGAGGCTTTTTGCGCGATTCAAGTGCAGCCTCGGCCTCGGCCAGTTGACGTCTAAGTTTTTCCAATGCCTTGAAAAGGGATAAAATACAATGGTCATTCAGGAATTAGGGAAGTTTTTTGGGAAATAGAAAAGGCAAGACTAGAAGTAAACAAGTCCTCCAATATTATGTTCGGATTACTTACAGGACAAGTACGTTCTGGATCGAGAAAAACGACAAGTAGAATCTGCTCAACTGAAACCTGATCCTTTTTCTCATAAAACTGCCCAAATTGTTATGCGACACATTTTCATTATTTGTGTAGCATGGCAAAACTATTAGACAAAAATTTAATACTGTGATCATATGATGCACATAACTGAGCGATTCATGATTAATTGTTTCTTCCTCATCCAAAATCACAATACCAAACGTCAATCTAAATGAGGATAAAGTATATATGAGACAACTTGCTCCATACTTTATGATGCATATGTTTCAGCAAATGAACATTCCATTAGTATTTAGCTTTGTTCAAGAATATATTTAAGCTCGAACCACATGCATTTATTCATTCAATTTTGCGCAAACACAAAGATGAAATGATGATAAAATACCATAATTTCACAAAGCTAGTTCACCAAATCATGCTGACAGCAATTTTGTTAACATCAAGAGTTGAGGCCAAATTTACCAGTTCTGGGACATAATCTGTTTCTCCTTTCACTTTTAAGCTCGTGATCTTGAACTTAACCCTGCTCTTCTTTTCTATTGGTTTCTCATTGTTCTCTGGAGGTTCCACAAACTTAAACACTGCTCGTCGGGAAAAGAACTCATTAAAATCCTAATCATCAGCATTCTGTCAGTCTCAAAAGTTAAGTTAATGCATTACCGGTTGCGATAAGACTTTCACCGGGAGCAAGTGTACCTTCCGGAGGTCGCATGTAGCAACTCTTTGGTGCAGTTGTTTGGAACTGTAGGATCAACAAGGTTCACTCATTAGATATTCTTAACGAATGTGGAACCCCATTAGCAACATGTTTTTACCACACCTTTGGACATCAATATCAAACATGGGTAACAAAATGAAAATTAGTAAGGGAATCCTCCTCACCTTGAACGCTACATGGGACTTGCTAGTGTTTTTAATGTCAATGGCACTCCTGACCTGTTTACCTGGTTCATCTAAAAAGCACGAGTTCAACGTCAAGCACACTAGGAAAACGATAGATCGTTGAAAAGTGAAAGCTTCCGACGAAGCACATGAATTATGAAATCCAAGTTATTGAACAAGCAAGTCTTAAGAACACAGCTGAAGATTTATTTGCAGCAAATAAAAGAGGAAACAATAGTATTATTACCATCAAGTTTTGATCAAATCTACCGGTTACTAGAAACAAAAATTGACCATTTCTACAAACGGTGAGGAAATAACTTACTAGCAATTAGCAAATCACTGTTTTACTCAAAATGCAATCAAAGGTAAGAAAGAATTTCACTTTTAGCAATTGAAATAAAAACCTTCCTTAATTAGCAATTAGCATTTAGAAATTACAATCTTCTCAAACTCAAATAGATATATCAGACGAAATAATGAAAGAAATGTAGAAAAATATCATCAATTTCAGAAACTTTAAGCAGAAGCTCAAGATCAAGCAAACAGCAAATAAATCAGTTAAAAAGGGTCCTAAGCAAGTGAACCATTATAGAAGAATCTACAGTTCAAGATAGTTGAGCAAAGAAGGAACTGATTTGATTTGCAATGAGTGAAAGGACCCCTTTCAATTCCACAAACTGATAAAACCATGCAATGGAAACCAAATCCTATTCTTAAGGGGCAAAAAGTTCACTCCTAAAAAACTCACATATAAAAGAAATCATATAAATAAACAATACATAACCAAAAAAACCCCACCCAAAGGGGGGGGGAATCCCAGTTAAAGGTAAGAAAACAACAGCAGATTCTTACAAGGAAAATACAACTTATTGGGAGGATCAAGCCTAAGTCTTCTTCGAGCAGGAAGCAAAGATTTGGCCATAAAAAACAGTGCATTTGTGGAAGTCACAGTTGATCTTTCACCAAGCTGACTACTTTGGCTCTGTTGCTGGTAAACATTGTCGTTGCCCATTGATGAAGATGAAGATGAAGATGAAGATGAAGAAGAGCCATTGCCACTGCTACTACTCGTCTGCCAAAATGGCATTCTACAAAGACTCCAAACTTTCTCTTCACCTGCAGATTTCTCCTCATCAACACCCATATATTTTTTTGGCTTTTCAGAAGAAGAAGAAGAAGTTGGATCTGTCTCTGTTTGCGGAGTTCAGTAGATAGACAGCAAATAAAAAGTAGAAAAAGGGTGGGACTTTGTTCGTAAATGGAAAAAAAACAATGGATGGGATTAATATTAAACTATGTTTGTATATCAGTTATGGCCATGGGGGTGTGCTTTGAGTTGTCAGTGTCACTGTTGTTGAAAACTCCTTAACATGTAATAACATATGCTTACAAAACATACGTGTTTTTGTTTTTGTTTCTCCATTAAACTTTGTTTTATTATCTTGGCAAAACTATACAAATCGTCACCTAACTTTTAGGGTACTTGCACTTTAATCGCTAAATTTTTAAAACTTCTAATATATTCACAGTTAAACTACACGAGACCACTAAACAATGGTCAAAAATCATTTTGATCACCAACATTTCAATTTAATCAATCAGACCATCCAACTATTTAAATACTTCAATCAAATCACCGGCCGTTAATTTTTAACAGAGGTGGTAACATGTCCATTAATACATCATATTTTTAACATTCAAAATCATCAGTATTCAAGTAGGGACTAAATTGTATATTTTCAAAGTATTTACACTGTTAGTATCGATATTTTGTAAACACGATTGTCTAAACGTAAAACTTTTAAAAAGAATCAAGTTTAATTTTTAAAGCATTGATCAAGTGATGCTTCCTATGTTAGATGAGAGTCTTTTAGTATTCAGGATGAAGTGAGATAGATTCTATTTTGATTATTTATTAAGTTATTTTTAATCAAAATATTATTATTATTAATTGATAATGAAATTAATGTTATGGTATTTAAATAAATTTATATAATAATAAATTCATTCATCATTATTTATATATTTTATTATTTTAGTTCTAGTTTTAACTAAAAATAATTTAATAATCTTTCAATAAGATGATGTTACATGTCATCATCCTATTATATTGCTTTTTTAGATAAATTCATTGTTATATATCCAAAGAGAAATAGCAAGCTGATACCAATATACAAGACATTACCAATATTTCAATCTATACATAACCGGGCATTCACTCTATTCAACCTATTAACCGATATTTTAATATATAATCGAGCATTCACTCTATTCAACCTATTAACCAATATTTCAATCTACACATAATCGAGCATTCACTCTATTCAACTTATCTATACATTTTCAATACTTGCTTTATAATTAAATCAAATTTAATACTTGCTTTATAATTAATATATCTGACCATTAACACCTAAAATATAGATTAGTTTATTGATAAAAATTAAAAATATAGAAGTAAAATTGAAGAGATTTAAACCTTATGTAAAGTAAAAACACACCTAACTATTAGACTAAATTTAATACTATACTTGATTCATGATTTATAATATTTTATATAAAAACTATTTTATAAGTAAAAATCAAAGGAAATAAAAGTAAAACTAAAGAAAATCAAACCTGGACATTAAAGTAAAATTAATTTATGATTTGTGTTCGTCTCGTGCGGGTTATAGCAACATATAACTGCTTCAATTCAGAGCACATAATGTTGTGTTGCTCCATTCATATACAACTCTCCATTGATTCTTTAAAGCTGACCAACCAAAAAGGTTGTACAATAACACATCCACTGAAATATAATGCACTTTTCATCTCATTTTTATTTTCTTATCAATAAAATGATTTATATAAAAAATACTGTTAATTATAAATAAAGTATAAAATTTGACTTAATGGTTAGTTGTATATACCTTGTGACTTAGATTCGAATAATTTTAATTCTCTTGGTCAGTTTTATATACAAGATAAATGTATTGTCATTAACAAATACTACTTGAATCTGTCGATCAGCTTTCGTTGGGACCCCAGCAGCTGAAGCACATGACAGTCCTGAGGGACTCCTCAACCTGTTTAAGCTTCTTGTCATTACTACTTTTACCAGATTTATCACTATTGGATTAAAGGCTCCTGAACTGCCTCTAACTTCTTTGAAGAACACCCCCATAGTCTTTGCAACTTGGTCTTTGATTGTGTTCCTCCAGCTCATCCTGAAAGAAAGAGGTTGGCCTTGCTTTGCCTACTGGTGCTACAAGGGGGAAGCTTCTAAATATTGCAACATAACGAAGGAAACTCAGAAAGGAACTGCCAATGTTCATGATTATCTTCATCATCCTTTGTTCATACTTTATTTTTGAAGGCTCAACACAGTCCTGGTCAATCTTTTCACAGAAGGAAGTCTATGAAGTGGAACCTGGTCCATTATAACCTCACATCGGGTATACAATTCTTCATAGAGCCTTGTGGACTGATATTCATTCGCCACAAGGACATTCTTGTGTCTAAAACAAAATTTTCACATTAAGGATATGAGAATTACAAAAGCTTGTCGCTTAATAGATTAACCACATATGCAAAGTATATTTAAAAATCAGACTTATTATTTTTAAAATCCATATGAACATTTATATCATATATAAAAATATGCCTAGTATGATAAATAGTTGAAATCCAAGATTACCGAACGTGGATTTTCCATCAAAATAGAAACCTTGAATATTAGAAACAAAAAATTCAAGATTGTGTAGCTCTCTAAAGTAAGCCTGAATAAAACAGACCATCTCATATACTCTTTTACCTAATCTTTCATGGTAGATGCAATTACGATTGAACCAGATTGCCCACGATGTCAATGTTAGTAATCTGCATTTAGTTTGACCCAACGTTTTATTTTAAAACAAAAAACTCTCTTAACGTTTGGCTAAATAATCATTTAACTCTTATATCTTTTTTTGTTGGCGGTGTATTTAGATTTCCAATGTTTCAATTTAGGGGGGGAATCTTATTTTAGAGTATTAATCGTGTTGATTAACATTTCATCCACGGATAATTTTTTTTATATTAAAATAAACGTTAGATGTCAAAATATTAAAAAAATAGTGACTATTTAATTAAACTTATGATTTTTTCCAATACGCCATTTACAAATTGAACCACCATTAGAAGAAGAAAGTCTACGCAGATGAAGGTTCATTAGTGTGGGCACAAATTTCTGCGATTATCTTCCACATTGTAATTTTTAATTTATGGGGAATATTAGAGTTTGATGTAGAAGTCCTCGAGTGGTTTGCTTTGTAAGTTGATGTAAACGTCTACTGTAAGGATTTAAATAGCAGTCCACTATATTAATAGTGTCTATTTTATAGCAGTAGCAGTGTCGTTGGAAACTATTATTGTATGACCGTAATAGCACCCGTTATATCCGCAATCACAATAAACGTAATGCAACGAAAAACACGATGGTAATCACAATTTAAATCCTCGATCTACGGGGTTTGTTCATTCAATCACAGGTTTCTAACACGAGTTTGTATGTTCAATTGGTTTCTTAAACACAATCTTAACGATTCTGTCAATGTTAGGAGGTCAACTTCAATCTTCAGGGGGGAGGGGGAAATGGAAAAAACGATTAAGGGTGATAGAAAAGAGGGAAAATTGTAATGTGCTCATGGATTTAATTCACCACCAAATTATCTAAGCAAAATAAAAAATATAGAAGAGAAAAGCGTCTTTGAGATGGAATCATAAGTGGTTTATGGTTAGAAGAATGTGGAAGGGGTGAATTGGTAAATTGTGTTTAGAGAGTAAGGAGAAAGAAAAAATAGACAATTTTACATAACGATTTATAGTGATTCAACTTCTCAGCTAAGGTAAAGTCTACCCAGCTACCTTAGCTTATCACTAAAGATTTTCTAACAAATTCACTAATTTGTTCTTTCTTTTTCACAGGATAAAGAGATAACTTTTACACTCCCTAACTTTTCAATAGGTAAGCTAGAACCAATACCCTTTACAAAAAAAAAGAAAGTAAATAAAAAAACCTCTTAAAGGTAGGGTGTTTACAAAATAAAGCTCACAAAAACACAATATTTACAATAGATTAGAAATAAATAGAAAAAAGTTATTCTCTTGTGTTTGAATGCTTGGATAAGTGTTTTGATCATTCTTCAAGTGTCTTGAATTTGTATTTATATGTTGGAATGAGGTTGTGGTTAGAGGTGCACAAAAAATCCAAATATTCGATTTTGTGCAAAAAATATCCGAAACCGGATTTGGGAAAAACCGTTTTTTTTAAACCGGATCGGATATTTTAAAACCGGATAGTATAATCGGTTTGGGAAAAAATTGGACGACCGGATTAAAAACCGGTTTGAAAAAAACCAGATAAAAACTGATTTTTTATCCGAAAAAAATCTGGTATGGGGTTTAAAAAATTGGATGACCGGATTTTTTACCGGATTAAAAACCGGTTACATCATCCGGCCCTCCAAACCGGTTATGATCCGAACCGGTTTTTTTATAAACCGATTTTTTGGCTTGGTGAAAAAACCGGATCGATTTTTATCCGATCCGGATTGGATTTAAATCCGGCTATGTGCATCTCTAGTTGTGGTCATTTCTAGCCGTTGGGATGTTTTCTCTGCAAAATAAAATTGCCCAGTACAAAAGTTATCGGACTCCTATAGGGAGTATCGATTCTATTTTTGTTATTTTTAAATAAAACTAGTCGTTACTAGTCGTTGAGTATGACGGTATCTATACTAAGCTTATAATATCGATACTATTAAGTAAAATATATCAGTGCCCCTTTAAGTATCGGTACTTATTTTGCATTCTTGAATTTGAACAATGCTAGTAGTATCGGTACTACCTAGAGGGTATCTATACTTCTCTTACCTAGGGTATCGATACCACATGAACAATGTTGGTATTGTTCATATAATATTGATACTATAAGAACATAATCGATACTACGTACGTTGAAAATCAGTTTTGTGCTCAAATTTACTTTTAGTGGACTTTAAATTATTTTTAAAAACTTCAAATAAATTCAATTAAAATCCAAAAATATTTTTCCTTAAATTCAAATAAAATGTGGTTAACACAAATTAATATTGAACGTTATTAAATGGAATAAGAAATGAACACAAGAAATGAACTATAAAATGTTTCACTATTTAACTAAGTTGAGAAATATCAACTTCGTCTGGGATTCTGAAGGTGTCTGCCGCACCAAATTTCCTGAACTCGTCTCCCCCATATCTGGAGTCGTCTTCTTCATCACTAACGTCATCATCTTCCTCACCGTTATGATGAGTCGATGAGGTACTATCATTCACGCTTTTCGACCGGCAATTTTGGGTTGCAAGCATGTTAACTTGTCCGAGGTGGGAAATTTCAACTACAACCGTATCATCATCTTTCGGTAGTGGTTGCTTCCATGGTTCCCCATCAATTCTCATGTATGTATGTTCAGCAGCACCTTTGTGAAACTCAAAGCGGATTCGGTGTGCCTAATTTCCACAGAAAAAAAATCATGATGTCCAAGATGAAAGGGCTTTGACTTCTAATTATGCCTGCCTTCTTTAGTTATTAGTTATTACCTGTGCCAGGCGAGTTCCATGTCCCTTTGGAGCCAGCAACACAAGCCCATGCCATGCATCTCTAAAACCAACTACTTCGAGAAGGCCATCATCTACAAAAGGTGGAGTTAAGTCTCTCTGTAAAGTCAATTGAGAAAAAAAAATCTATCAGGTTCATAAAAGCAAAGTTGGTTGATGTTCTCAACAGATAAATCATTGAAAATAGGAACTAACCTCGTTCTTCTTTCTGCCACTTGGTGTTCCCCAAGGATTTAGACCACCAGAAAAGCTGGGCAAGTTGAGGCATATGATCGACCTTATGCTGTTTAAATTGGAGAGGGGGCAGGGACACAAGGTAAAGATATTAGAATCATTCTTGGGTAACCAAGGGAAAGCCATATTAGGAAATGAAGCAGAAAAACCTGAAATAAGCACTATAATGGTTTCACTTAACAGAAAGATCTCTAATGATGTTTTCATTCCAACAATGCCAAGCATGAATCTTCTAATTAATAAAAACAAGGCATGGAATTTGAGAAGATTGATAAAAAAGACGTCTTTATTGCCCAAAACCATGAGAACAACATTATGTGTTGAGGATGTCGTTGAAGCTTTCAACAAGATGTGGGTTTGGAACTTAGAAGTTGGCATGTTCTAACAATCACTTCTTGGAACAGGTATTGTAATTTATAAAAAGAATTGCCATAGGCAGAAAAAGGATTCCTACAACTGAATTATGAGCTTTATATCTTGTCAGCACATGCTTCTCATGAGTTGTGATCAATGTTTTTACACATTTGAACCCTATTGCAATACTTTTCTCCTACATTATGTCATAACCAAGACTTTTGATATGAACAGATTGTTGTCTTTCACATATGACAAATATGAATAGTTATAACCAGCAAGCTGCTCTAGACCAACTGAAAGTTACCTCTGTGGTATGTGGAGATCTTGCCATTGACCATGTTTCTTCATGATTTTCACTTTTGCAAGCTGGGCAACATTCCTGTAGTTCAAGATCATAAATTTTCATTTTACTAAGAAAAGAGGAGAAATTATCAGGCCAGAGATGTTCTATAGCATCCAGCCTAATATCAGGACTTATAAGACTAATAGACATTTTCTGTACACATGCCATAATTCACTTCAAAATGAAAGGCTAAATTGAAATTTTAACACTGAAGGTGGTAGTACAATATGGAACATAATCAACATATCAGAATTCTATATTATAAATTCTTCTACTTTCAACCTTCCTGGTTTTTCTTTTGAATTTATATTTTATTTTCCGTTATCAAGAAATTCATTAGAGAAAAATAGCCAAGCTTCAATTAAAGGAAAATGCATGAAACCTGGATGTGAGCCTAATAGAAAATTTTAACACAAAGTAAAAAGGGCAACCAAGCTGCTCACTTTGAAGCAGGATGAAAAATAGAAGCAGCAAACCACCCTTGGGTACAGCCAAGCTTTGCATAAGTGCTCTGTTGGAAAGGTAGGGGAACATGAAAAACTTCAGTAACTGGAACATCTTTTTTATGAAGAACAAGTATCAAAGACAAGCAAGATCCAGGTATGATATACACATATACAGAAAAAACACAGATACAAATATGTATAAATTCCATAAAAAATGTACGTGTTATCAAACAACATAAAGCTAGAAGTAAATCATGTAAATTGCTTTAAAAAAAACCCGGATGATTTGACTGCAAGTGTCCTTGCATCAATCAAGCAAAGCAGATGTCATTATGACAGAATTATACCTGATTAACCAACTGGTTTTTAAAATTTTCAGGATGCAACTTTCGCTCAGAGTGAAAAGCATACGATACTTGAGCATCCATTCCTGTAGACAACATTACAACACTATCGATGAGATTAACAAATATTCAAATTGTCATGTTAAAACAAAGATGAGTGCACCAGATATCTAGAAGGTGAGAATAAGGAAATATGTTCTTTATGTTAGATTGCAAGATAATAATGAAGGTGTCAACTAGATTAGTAAAGTCTTTTAGTGGTTGTACCAAGCACCAGAGATTGAAATCTGCCTTTCACTTACAGGAAAATAGGGGGTAACTTTCCTTGTTTAGCCTGAAAAAGAGGATGCAAAAATGGGAAAGAAAGGCGACTGTATGATAGTCAGACTGATGTTGCTCTTACTCTTCAGTTTTAATGAAATACCCATGTTCAACACCTAAGTCCGATGCATATACAGACACGTATATGGGGATATGGTCCTTTTAGGATCATCCAAATACATAAAAAAAATTATAGAAAAAATATTGCTCAAACCCGTGTAGGAGACATATCCTTTTTCTGACACTTACATCCAAGTCCAAGTAACATAGTTATAGACAAACATTGCAAATAAAACAATAAGGTTAAAAACGTGTTTTTAGAATTTCAAAACAATTTCAACCAGATGTAAACTGGAACCAGACATATAAGGAAACCTTAAATTTGCCACAGTTTTTGTTCAATCATATCTTCAACAATATCATATATTCTTTACTGGATTGTTCAAATTCCATTAGGCAACAGAAAGTAAAAGGAATGGAAAGAGAAGTTAATTAATGATAGCAGAAAATCAATTGTACATTAAAGTATCATTATGGAAACAAATGTAGAGCCTCCACAATAATAAAATACTTTGTAAGAAAGAATATTATGATAGCTTTATTTTTACAAAATATACAGTTAAAATACTTAACCAGGGAAGTACTCTCACCCAAGCTGAAGTAATTCCAGAATCCCCCACGAAATGTATGGCAACCTGCCTGAGGAGCACAAACCTTCTATGTGAGGAGGCAATGCAATACAATACAAAAATGTTATGCTTCTTTACGCCTATTGCATAGCTTTTACAATACTTGATAATTAGGTAGAAAACTGGAAGTTAGACCAAAGGTGCAAGGGAAACTTATGTGCTAAAATATTCAATGGTATAAACAGAAAGAAGAATTAAAAAAAACATTTGAAGTCGGTAAAAGGTATTTAAAGTTTTCACTGTAATTTAGAAAAGATAGTTTAAAAAATGTACAAATTCTTGATCTCATAAAAACATAGACTAAGAGAAGGAAACGAATTTAAGAAGACAACGGAGGTAATGGTAGAATGTCTCACCATGTTTAGTTCATCTGTTGATGAGACACGATGAAATGCATGTAAAGAGTGTGGTAATTCCAGAGGTGCAATAGGGTCACATGAACCTTCCTTTGGAGCTCTCATCCTCATGAGAATATGCCAACTGAACCACAAAAATGCATCTATCAGTAAGAGAGTAACTATTCTGAAGTTCCTTATGTCAGTCAACCCTATAACTTGCCTGAAAAGAATAAGTTCCGATGTAAAATGGAAGGAGAATATATTCAGAAATAAGGCAGTTATGTAGTTTTAAATTTGGCTTGGATAGTTAAGTAGCAAGGGGTGCAAAATGCTTCTTAAAATTTTGGTCTCCCTAATAAGGATTGTAGAGAAAATGGTGTAAGAACTCAAAAGACGGGGAAAAAGGTTCTCTTGACAGTTTAGTTAAACAGGAACGAACTCTGTTTTTATATCTTATACCTATCCTAGATTTATTTTAAATTTTTTCTGTCCAAAAATTTACCATGCAATTTTCCCAGAACTTATTCCATTTATAAGTTACATCCGAAGGGTTGAAAATTAATAGATAATGGTTCTTCCTCACTGCCTACTTCCCAGCACAGTAGTGCAAGGTCAGAGGATTGATCGGTATGTTCTGCTTGTGAACATTTACACGATAACAACCAAGAGGAGATGAAGTATATTGCATCTCTAAAGGTTCATCACTTAGAAGAGGCGAAATACCAATTCACTGAAACTGGATGTTCAAAACACAATTTGGCAACATCAGCACTATGCCAAATCAGGGAGTTCCTCAGTTTACAAGTACACTTCGCCTCAAGCACGTGTGTGTGTGAAAGATGGAGAACAAGAGAGAGAGGAGTCATGACTCATGACAACAACATTACTTGTCTATTTTCATTTCCTTCGCTTTCTTTACTTGTTCCAAGAATAACAACACAGAGTTACGATCAGTCCCAGGATTCCTCTTTCCCTGTAATTTAGAAAGCAAGTTAGATAAACACTCGACAGCTCATAAATTTGATTGAGATTATCCATGATATAGAGACTTCTATAGCAGATGCATGTTGCCTACTGCAGTGTCAATCGAGAATCGGAAAACTTTCAACGAACTTTACAAATTTTACTGAAATGGAGGACTCCAGTTTTTTTTTATATATATATACTTTTGACTAAGAGTGTAAACTTAGTTCAGCTCCATAAAGGAAAAAACAAGTAATAGAACTTAGATAGACACCAAATACTACCAAGCCAATTAAGAGCATGTCCTGTGCATTAAAAAACGACAGCATAACCAATAATTCATTGTTGTAAGTAAGAAAACATATTAAAATAGTCAACACTCATTTTATAACTTGATTTTACGACTAAAAGCAAGAAAATTCTTACCCAGCCAAATGAAAAAGGCAGATTGTTTCCAGTTCCCAAAGGAACTGTAGCAATTGGAGGTGGATGTGGCAATTTAAGATCACAAACAACTCCCAGAAGCCAGCCAGCTGTCCCATCACCACCGGCAACCTAAATTTCAATGTAGATGTAAGGAATTAAAAAAAACAATAAAAGTAATAATAGCTAAACTGTTGGTCGCTGTTATTGATAGCCTCCTGTAAGATTGTAAAGTATCAGACTCAACTTACAATTATTCTTAATCTCTCGTGAATCTTTGTGGCAAATTCATCTTTTTCTTGCTTCAGCATTTCTAGTCTGGTGTAAACTCTGCAAAGCACCTTATCAGGGGCCTCTTCGCCCAAGTCGAAAATCTGAAATTAGTTACACAAAGATTAGCTCCAATTCAAGTATACAATATGCATTGTGAAACACAAAAGTTACCTGATGTTCATTGAGGATACTTTTATATGTATTAAGAAGATCGCCACCCAATTGACCACCACTTTTGGAGTTGATAAACACAAGCACTGGGAACTTTGGTGCTTCGGGAACATCAGCGAGCTGTGTTTCATCATTAAATATATATGCAGGAATATAAAAATCCTTCAAAAAGTCAGAGTCTGATTTAGATTCCGCCATTGTTGGGCCCAACTGCATCATAAAATGACCAAAGATCGTCAAAATCAAGGTACTACATAAAATTACAGGGGATAGAAACAAATATTTGAAAAACAAACAGTCTAGAAGAATTTGAATATTCGACCGTGATGGAACAAGGAAAAATCGATTAAAATCATAGACTTAAAAATGGCTTCTTTTCTAAAGGCCCCGCAGATAATATTTTCCAGCAGCTCTTTCAGTCAACAATAATAACAAAAGGTCGTTAAAAATAACAAAAGGATAAGAAGTTCAAAACAGAAAGAGAAGTCAACTCCCTCTAGATCATTATTCAAAACCAAAAAGATATTATGTTATGGCATATCATTTTGAATCCAGGCATTTCAGCAAACACGTAGGGCGTGAAACAACAAGGATCCAAAGCAATCGAGGTGAACAAGATAAGAATTAAGGAAAAATGAACTCAACCGAGCTTGGTAATTGTTGAACTGAAGCTTTGAAAGGCTTCTTCGCTGTTGGAGAATGCGCAAAAAACAGCACCAAGGAAACAGTAAAAACAACAGATCGGTAGCTTGCTAAATTTGAAACAAAGAAACGAAGAGCGATCGTTGTGAAAAGGAGCTGAATTTTGATTGAGAGAGAAAAAAGGCGAGATTAATGACCTGGGAAATGAATCAGAAAAGATCTGGCTTCGTACTTTCCTTCCTTGTTCCAAAGCGCAGACAGGGAAACGAAGAGGAAATTTCAAGATTTGGCACTAAAACGTGTGGGGGTAGAAAGCGAAGGAAAAGGCATTGAATCTTCTGTCGTTATGGGAAAGCAGCACCGTGATTCTCTGGTTGAATTATAACATAACATCCGGATGTCAGATCCATTTGGCAAATTTTTACTAGCCTCTTCAATGATTCGCTTTTATATATATATATATATATATATTTGGGCATGGTTTTCATAACCGGACCGGTTAACGAATCAGTTATACTATCGATTCATTGGTTAATCGGTCGAATCGATTCGACCGATGGAAGAACCGGACGACATCATAATTATTTAAAAAATTAAATAAAAATACCAAAAATATTTAATAAAAAATAATTTTTTATATCACAAGTCATATTCAAAGCAAGTCATAACATATATAAGTTAAAAACATAAAATCAAGTGAAATAAAATGATTCAAATTAACTAAAACATAATATTTAAGGTAAAACATATTAAATAATAAATATAATTATATAACTGTAATTAAAAAATAAATTTGGGGTTAAAAAATCATAACAAAATGATATTGTTTGGTTTATTTTTTTTTTAAAACAATCTACATTGTTAAAAACATAGAAGAGCATCCCAAAAGTCTAAAGAGTAAAAATATGAGAACAAAACAATCTCACATTGCTAAGAAACATAGAAGCGCATCACAACTAACTTCTATAAATAAAAGAGGTAATTTGACATTCAAAATCATGGAGCCTTTTGGTGAGCATTGAGTGAATTATTCTTTCACTTCAATCAAGCTCGAATTTTAGGCTTCAATCGAACTTCTAATTTTTTTTTTGAGTTCAAGTCTTTTTGAGTTCAAGTTTCAAAATTATATTTCGAGTTTGAGTTGAACTTGATAATTTTTAGCTTGTGAGTTTGAGTTGAGTTGAGCTTACTTTTAAAGTTTTCAAGTTCGAGTCGAGCTCAGCAATACTCGAGTTCAACTTGGCTCGTTTAACAAACGACGTTGTTTGGTTTAATTTTTTTTAGAAAAACAAAAATCCCGGTTTTTCCCGATTTTCAGCCGGTCCGGTTCGAATGATTCAGCGGTTCTGGCCGGTTCACTAATAGCGGTTCAACCGATTTAGATTGAACCGCACTAAATAACGGTTTCCGGTTAAACCGGTTGAACCGGTCGGTCCAGTCCGATTTTCAAAACAGAGTATTTGGGTAAACTTAAATTTTTAACCGTTAATGAACAAAATAAAAATAAAATATAATTTTAGGTATGATTTTTAAAGGAAAAAACTAGTTAAGTGACTAAACGAAAAAATGATAGTTAAAATAATAAATATATAATTTTCCTAAAATATTTCCACTTCCATCTCTTGTTCTCGGCTAATTTAGGATAATAATATTTATTTTATGTTTATTTATTTAAATATCACCCAACACAACTTTATTTAAAGAGAATAATATTTTATATAAATATGTGTTGTGTAAGAAGTATATTTTAAAAAAATGTTGTTTGTAACACATGTCTTTGCTGACCTGATAAATCTTTTAGATGAAATCACTAAAATAGAAAAATATGAATAACACGTTTAAAACATAAGAAAAACAATATAAATTTTATTAAAAAAAGAAATACAAGTACGTGTCGGACAACGGCATGCTTGTATATATATTATTTTAATCACTTAATGATTAAATATTTAAAAATATATATTTAAACCATTTGAGAAAATTTATAGCATATAAATAATGTAACTTTTAAAAAAAATAATGAACAAAATTCATTAATTTTGAGTTATTAAAATAATCCTTAAATTCAATTAAATTAATATCAGTACCGCAATCAAATAATTTTTATAGCTTATTACTAAAAACTATCTATTAATTAAAATAATTGTCACGTCATTTTATAATTTCTTAATTAATTTAAAGTGATTATTAATAGTACATATTTTAAAATTTCTTAATTATTTAATAATAAAAGTTCAAATTTATAATATCTAGTGTTCAAACTTACTTTTAAAATAATAATCCCTTTATAGTTACTATAAATCTATTAAAATATTTTAATTGATTCCCTTACTACTCACCATTGTATATCCTTTTTGCTTCTTTCCTCTTACTCTTCCTCACACATGCCTTGGGCATACAATAAACAAAAATTTCAACTCTAAATTATATCCGTTTTTTCTATTTTTAATTATTGGAGGAAACAATAAAAATTCAAATCATGAATTTCAACAACTACAATCCTACAGAAAGAATCTAATCGTATCAAAATTTCAAAAAAAAAAAAAAAAGATTTGAACTCAGCATGAAACGGAGAAGAAACATGACCAACTCATATCACAACCCACAATCGCAAGCAAGAGCAGTTCTGGACTTTTTTTTTTTTTTTGAAGAAAAAGTAAGAAAGAAGGAATATATATATATATTATGATTCCTTGTATAACTTATTCCATTACTTGAGGCCAAATTAATGGAAGAATTAGACTTTCTGGACGGAACAGTAACAAAACGGAAACCCTATAGAGTAAAGATGGAGTTTTATAAAAGAAACTTGGAAGCAGATGCAAATAATACACGAAAAGTAAAAAGGCTAATTAGTTGAAGATGGGAAATAGTAACCTGGTTTGATGCGAAACAGGAATTCCATTTACTTCTTCCACGTCGAGTGCTGTGTTCATGGAGATGATTCCGGTGTGAAAAGGGGGAATTGCCCATGTTTTTCAAATACGGATGAGTTTGTTGCTGCTTAATTTGGGTCCACCGCTCCAGTTGTTTTTGGCCAAGTTGTTTCTTCAACAAGGATGCTGTCTTCTTTTTTTTTTCTTTTTCTGGTTACGCCTCCACCGCAAGGCTACTCTCAATCTTAGGGGGTGGGAGGAACTTCTTAATTATTATTCAATTCCAAGGGTTTAGTATTGATTTCATGTCTACTTTCTAATAATTATCGTCTTAGGTTTACGTCTACAAGTTTCAAAAGTTCTATTTCAAACTTTGATTTTCTCGGCAATCGTTGTGGAATCAAATCATGGTCAGTTGTTAATTTGGGATGAAGAAAAAAAGCCTTTACGTCCACGTAAGCATAAAAGAGGAAATATTATTATAAGAATGGAAAATTATCGGATAAACCATATGGATAATCCTTTATATTTTTTTGTCTGGTCGCTTTTTATCATTGGTTAAAAGAAAAAGAGCGATCTTGATCCCTTATATTATTAGTCTGTTAAATTTTAATCTACCGACCATTAATTTTTGTTTATCTCTTAAGAGAAATATTATATGACAATTAAAAAAACTAAAATAAAATCCACGTATTTTTTTTTGCCCACTACCACCTCAACCTCCTACTCCTCTTCACTCCCTTTTCTTTGTTCTTCACATCCCATGCAAGACTAGCTCTCGTCCATGCAAGTAACAGTTAATTTTTAATTGGTATGTAACACTTACGTTAAGGAGTGAAAGAGAATTAATAGATGAGAGATTAAAATCGAATAAATTAATAACATAAAGAGATCAAAATTACTCTTTTTTAATTCCGTAACCAAAATCGATTAAACAAATAAAATAAAAATCATCCGTATAATTTACCTAAGATTATTTATAATTTAAGATTAAAACTTTTAACTGAAGTTTTTACCGTTAAATGAACACCGTGTAATTCACCTAAATTATTTATAGTTTAAGATTAAAACTTTTAACTGAAGTTTTTAGCGTTAAACGGACTGGTGTCCAAATCCGTGTGTATTCGATTCAACACATTCCATATTGATTATAATCATTAATTTTATTTTTCGGCTTGCAAACAATAGGGGCCAACTTGGACTTTCTCTTGGAAAATATGGGTGGCTTGAACGGACGAATGATTCTTTTTCTAAGCAAGAGAAATAAAGGCTAATAATAATATGGAAAAGTTGTTAGACTTCCACGTTTAGACTAGACCCGGTAAATTTGATTTGAACTCTATTGTTCGAACCGATTTATTCGAATCGAGATTCGATATAGACACGAATAGAATGATTTTAAACTGATTCGAAACTCAAAATAACTCGAATCGAATCGAAACCAATCTGAATTTTAATTGGACCAAAAGCAATTTGGAACGAAAGCAACTCGAATCGAAAGCAACCTGAACCCAAAAGTAACCTGAACCGAAAAATCAGAATCGAAAGCAACACGAATTTAATTTACCCATATTTGATCTGAACAGGACTTCGACTTGATTTTAACCCGATAATCGAGTCTAAGTGAATGAATAATTTGTTTATTATTATTATTATTATATATTTTTAGCGTTGATAAATAGTAAAATGATGTATGTTTTATTAATTCTCATTTTATATTATACTACTAGTTAATCACCACTTTTAATAATAGTTTAATGTTCAATATAATCTTTCCTCAATTAAAAGATTATCTCTATATCTAATGCAATAATTTCCAACTCAATTATCCAAAAAATAATAATTTTAACTCTAAATTTAGACTGTGATAATATATATTCACATAAAATTCTTGATTTTAAATATTTATTGATTCGATTGATTTAAACTAAAATTTCTATCTCCGAATTTGAGATGTGACAATATATATCGTATAAATTCTTGAATTATAAGTAATAAAGAGCAACATGAAAATTATGACAAAGAGAGATATTGGTTTACCTGAAAATCTAAAGGTTGACCCAAATTAAAATTGACCCGAATTTACTCGAAAATCAAATGATTGACACGAACCGAAACCAACCAATCTAATATTGACCCGATTCGATATTAACCCGACCTGAAAACCAACGTATCTAATTTTGACCTGACCCAAACTAAACCCCAACTAGATCTGATCTAACCCAAAACAAACCTAAATCGAATGCAGTCTAAAACCAAAATGACCTGACCCAAAATGACTCGATCGGACTTACCCGATTGCCACCTCTTTAG